AAAGGGGAACAGACAAGTTGCTGTCCTTTTGTTCTTCAGTCTAGTTGTGGAGGACATTGCTTCACTGGCCCATGTTGGTATTATCCTTGCGCTCTTCCCAGGTGAGGCAGTTGCTTGCCGGCCATTGGACAGCCACTCACGTAGCTCACGGCAGCCCACTGCAGCAGGGACTGTAGCTTATGCCATCGCCGGTGGCTCTCTGTAGCCCAGGTCCAGGTTGAGCTATTGTTCACCATCTTAGCTGTAGAGGGTGCAGCGTCACTGGCCCTCATGTGGGATTTGAACCCGCGGCCCTGGTGCTCAGAACTGGCGTCCCAAGCCAATTCTTAACCAATGCACCACTTAGCCTGTCTTCTTTTAATTTTTAAAAAGTTTTCTTGTTTACATCTGCCTTTTTAATCCACCTGCAATAAATTTTATTATATTTTGAGACACAGGAAGTTTTTTCCAAGTAGTCAAAGTTTTTAACACTATTTGTTGGTTAACCTGTTTTCCCTTGATTTTTCGATGATTAGTCTGTAGTGTAGTAAGATATTATGTATACTATTTCAAGGCTAGTTCTTTTGTTGCTGAGATTTGCCTAGTTATTCCTATACCAATATTCTATTCTAAATATGTTTATAATATACTTTAACATTTTACAGGGAAGTTTTTAACCATCACACATCTTCAAAATTTTCTTACCCATTCTCACCTATTTTTAGTTCCAGAAAATAATTAAGTCATTTATGTTAGTTTAAAAAAAGCCGCTAAGCATTTTTATCAGGATTGGATTAAAACTACAAATTATTTTGTGTAGAATTGGAATATTAGAACATTTACCCTATTGAGTCTTCTCATCCAGAAATGAGATATCCCACTTTATCTAGGCAAATATTCTTTGATGTTATTTTTTTAAAGTTTGCCGTTTTTTTTTTTTCATGTAAGTTGAGCACACTTATTAAGTCCAGTCCTCTGCAATTTGTTTTTGTGAAATTATTGTGAATAAACTCTTTTCCCTCCATTATATCTTCTTGTTGGTTACTGATGATGAATAGGAAAGCTATTTTTTGGCATAATTCTCTTCTATCTGGCTTCTTTCTTGAATTCCATTATTCTAAGAATGTTTCAATTCTTTGGTCTTCTAAAGACCCTAATTATATCTTTCACTAATGATGATAATTTTATCTTTCCTTCTCCAGTAATTATTCATATTATTTCTGGTGTCTTCCCCACTGGCTTGGCCAGAATAATATTAAATATAATGATGTTTATAGGAAGTCTTGCCTTGTATAGTTTATCAGTATCAACTACCCACACTATTCTTTTTAATGCTTCCTGCCTTGGATTTATCTTTCTTTGAAATTGATATGGTCACTTCTTTTTTTTCTTACATAATAACTTTGGATCATCCTTTTATTTCTAATCTTTGTATATAATTTTATTTTAAATGGCCCCCTTAAGGCACATATAATTGGATATTTAATTTCATAACATTTGACTTGAACAAGGGAATATAAACTATATTTTTGTAATAATAGACACATAGGTTTTTTTTTTCTATCTTGTTTTCTGCTTTCTTATTAAAAAATTTATCTTACAATATAGGCTATATTTCCTTGGCATTTATCTTTATTTATTTGAAAGTCCTATATCCCACTTTATGTTTTACTAGAATCAAATTTTAAATTAAAAAAATAGTTCTTCAACCTATATTTTTAATATTTAAAGCAAACAAACAAACAAAAACAAAAAACAAGTTCTCTTGGCTTTTTCCTATAGATGATGGGGATTGATCTGTTTATCTTTTTTCCTGGCAGTTGCCCACCTCCTAAGCTTTGCTTATATAATCCGTAATTTTAGTTCTAGCATACGGTTGTTATACCTTATTATTTCTTACATCATATATTTTTTATTTCAAGTAAGCTCTTTTGACATTTGTATCCATTTTCTTAACATGTTTAAAATAATGTATTTATTTAGTCTTAACTCTTGGCTTAATTGGTCTTATTATTTAACACCAGTTCTTTTTATATTGTGATTTCTCCACTTTTGAGTTTTCAAATTATGCATCTTCAAATAATTTTTTTCATGGCATGTGAAGAACAGATACTCTGAATCCTTGGGTATCCCAACATATCATTCATTTGTCTTCTTAACATGCAGTGGGGGCTGGGGATGTGTGGTAATTGTCTTCTCTGTTTCTTTCTTGCACTTCTTTCTTCTTTGGAGCATTGCTAGCTATTTCCTGAGCTTCCAGGCTGGGGGATGGGCAGTGTTGGAGAGAGAAGTCTTGTTTGATCAGGCACTGATGGGATATGACTTCATGCTGTCTGAGTCTGGCAGATGTTTCAAGCTGCTTATTTGTCTCTGAGGCAGTTTCATGGCTTCTCAGGAGATAACCCATCACAAAGATCCCCCATCACAGAGGCTTCTTACCTATAGATCTCTCGTCTAAGGAGGATGTATTTCTGGCCTGAGTGATCACTTATTAAGTCCTCCAGTAGCTTCTAGAATGTGATTGTCACTTTCAGCTTCTTGCTGCTGGGATTCTTTATCCTCTCAAGGATGCACCCTAAAGATCAGGGCTAGGGTGATCCCAGATGAACTCTCTGTCCCACTTGGCCCATATCTGGAAGCACTCATGTAATCTTTCCTGCCGTAAACAAGGACTATAAAATAATCCCAGCACAGCCACCATTATTCTCCTGAGTCTTGCCACTTAGCTTCCTCAGGTATGAGTCCAGCATCACCCCTCTGTGTGCTGTACTTGTAAAAGACACATGTTAAGGCTGGTCTCAAGGAAATTTCCCTCCTAACACCTGAGACAAGGGATGTAGCATTGTCTCACTCTTTCTCTTTGTGTGGTTGTATGGTATTGGGTGTCAGGAGAGTGACTCAGCACAGCACAGCACAGCACAGCATTCCTCTCTCTAAATAAATCTTTTTGTTTTACGTTTCGTATAGTAGGCAAAAGGGTTCTAGAGTCTGGAACTGGTTCCAGACAATTTGCTTTTTAAACTTGTGACTATAGCGTCCGTCCAATATTCACTTTGAAATCTGGTATCTCTTTTATTAGAACTTCAGTTGAGACAGAGCCAAGAAGAATTCCATTTTTAACATTCCGTTATATACAGATTATAGCCAGTGTTCAGCGATATTGAATCAATGTGACTCTAATAACTGAGCCTGGTTCTCTCAACTGTGGAAAAGATCAAATCCTATGATAACCAGCATCTCCTGCTGTGAAGTTTCTTCCCACCTATAGCACTTGTTGAGACCTCAGAGCCCATGTTGCATGTTCATGGTTTCTCTGTCGGGTCTCCATCATGAGGGCCTCTTCCTCATAGCTCTCTCATTTGAAAAGTGTATTTCTAGTCTGAGTGGTCATTTGCAATTCCCATTACCTGCTCCTCACTTGGAGACTCAGAGTGTTAATGAACTATACAACTGGCAGCCATCCTCCAGTTGCATGAGTACGGGTTGTAAAGACATTTTCCTTCATCCTGCCCCTGCCTGCTTTAAAGCAACTGACAGGAAGTGGGCAGGGTGGCTGGAGGAGATTGGCGATGGGTGCCAGCTGCTGCTAAGTACTTTACTTTGGCTATCTCACTTAATTCTCGGGGATCTAGTATTCCCATTTTACAGATGTGGGAAATGAGATTTGGGAATTAAATAACTTGCCTAAAGTTACACAGATCGTACGTGCTGAAGATAGAATTAAAGCACAGTTCCTTCTGATGCCAAAATTGGTGCACCTTCTCAATGCTGGCTTCATATTAGAGTCATCAGACAGCTTTAAAAATATCAGTTTTCTGGTTCCCTCCTCGAAACAAACTAGAACTCCTGGAGATGAAGCTTGGGCATCAGAATGGGTCAAACTCCCCAGAAGATTCTACCAGGTTTCAGATCGCTGCCAGATGCACTTTCTATCTAGGCTGTGGTTTTATGTTAAATATCATATTATTAGCCCTGTATGTTATAGATTCCTTTATATTGTTTTCCCCTTAATATTTTCTTTCTCCTTCAAAAGTCAGAGAGTGCGTGGTTGCCTGTCTATATCAGAGCTGGCATCCCTAATCAGATTCCAAGGGCTGCATTCATGGCCATGTTCATTCTGGAAGTGGACCAATTCATCCTGACCTCTTTGACTACATCAGCTCTGGACTGTGAAGAGGATGAGACCCCCAAACCCTTGCTGGTGTTCAACATTACCAAAGCCCCACGCCAGGGCTACGTGACTCACCTGTGGGATCACACTAGACCAGTGTCCTCATTTACTTGGAAAGATCTCAGTGACATGCAGATTGCCTATCAGCCACCAAACAGCAGCCATTCTGAAAGGAGACATTATGAGGTAAGAAGGAGGAGAGAGAAGCTCCCAGCCCCTTTGGTATTCACAGTGTTATTTAAGAAGCCACTTCCTTTAGCCTTCCGGTTGGTTTGTAAATTCTTTGCCTCTGAAAAGAGTCAATCACTGTGACTCAGGATGCAGACTCAGATGCCCATAGGAGCCAGGCTGCTGATGCAAATGAGCAAACCCTCCTGGAGAGAGACTGTGGGGACTGGAGATAGAGCTGGTGCCTGCGGAAGCAGCTACAACTCAGCTCCAGCCGATACACATGTACCTAGTGTTGCTATAGCTCATGTGTCACAAGAAGTTAGACATCTATAATTTTTTTCTGTAAAAATGTTTCAACTTTTAAATATAGAGAACATATTAAAAAATTTAAAACATAGTGCGCCAGCTACAAAATATTGAGGGCCGCATTTGGCCCAGATCTCACCATTTGAGAACTCTGGTGCCCTCAACAGCCTTCCTGCGTTCCATAGACCATTGAAGTTAGAGATGAGTTTTATTTACAGTTTTTATTAATAAACTCTTTTACTCTTTGTTTGTTTGTTTGCAGAAGTGTTTTATTGGGATCCTTAATTTTAATTAGTAACACTGACTTAGTATAGGAGATTTCATATTCCCATATGATAGTTAATTTCACTATCAAACACTTTCCATTAAGAAAAGTCCTCTTTCTATTTAATCTAAATCTTTCCTGCTGCCACTTCAGCCTTTTCCCTCTTGTTTTCTATTCAGTGGGAGTGAAGAACAGATGGTTTCAGAGTTGCACATAATAATCCTTCACATACTTAAAGACCTACCAGCAAGTTGATTCCAACCGGATGGAAAATTTAAATGGGCAGATTGATAGAGACTTGAGTTCAGGTTTATTAAGGAAAATGAGTGTCCCTGGGGTTAGCAAATTGTCCTCCATCTAATTTAGGCATTTGCAGCGTTTAGTTTCAAGGGCAGACAAAAGACTTCAGACTATAAGTGTTGTGTTTTGCCCTTTGCTTTTATTTTTTTCATTTCATAATAGTAAGTGGCGCTTTTGTTTATTTCCTGCCATTGCCTCTCATTCCTTCCACATTATGAAGTAATTTTTCATTAGATGTCCAGTTTTACCTCAAGCTCACAAATGAAGCACTGCTACTCCGCTGTTTCCTGTGTGCATATTTTGGCATTGCATAATGTAATCTTAAAGTAGAATTTGTTCAAATGTGTGATTTTTTTTGTTGTTGTTGCTGTCAGAAGGTAACTCAATTTTCTCAGTGGAGAGTATGAGCTTTTCAGATTTTGTAGGCTGGAAGCCCTGGGCCTCTGTGGAACTTTCTGCATTTGGCGGCCTTGGATGGGATTTCTGAGAGCTGAGCAATGGCCTGTGTTCCTGAAGCTCACTGACCCTTCTCTGGGCTATAACACCAAGGCAGCATATATATATATATATATATATATATATATATATTTTTTTTTTTTAATGGGGAACAGTGTTTTTCTAGGACCCATCACTTCTAAGTCAAGTAGTTGTTTCAATCTAGATGTGGAGGGCACAGCTCAGTGGCCCATGTGGGTATTGAACCAGCAACCTTGGTGTTATGAGCCAGCGCTCTAACCAACTAAACTAACTGGCCACCCCAAGGCAGTCTATTCTTACAGGCATGTTTGCCTCTTTGGAAAATTCAGTCATTTCATTAGGTACTACATATACTGAGAAGAAAATTCTTAGTGAGTACATGACATACAATTTCGTATGGCTCAACTTAATAAATATTTACATCACACCTCCAGAAATACATCACCCACGTTGGTATAGTTTCAATTTTAGTCTGTTACATTGTCAACCTTGAATCTGTTTCTTTTGATATGTTATGTTTGCTGATATGTTGCTGTCTGATAATTGCTCTTCTCAAATGTATCGCACATCCTTCAGAACGAGGCAGTGTACCTTCCATTTCGGTATTATCCCACATTCTTCTCTGTTAACACCTGGAGAAATACATACATATCACATAATAAGTCTCAAGACTTATATAGCCCCACTAAGTAGTTATGGATTTCATGGGAACAAATAAACTCTAGATATTTAAAAATATGTCTAAAAAATAAAAATAAAAATAATAAAAATAAAAATAAATAAAAATTTGTCTAGTGGGATAGGTGCCTCTAGATCAGGGCCTCCTAATAGCAGCGCCATTGACATTTTGGACTAGATAATTCTTTGTTGTGGGGCTATCCTATGCGTGGTAGGATGTTAGTAGCATCCTTGGCCTCTGTCCACTGGATGTCAGTAGCACCCCCTCAACACACACACCCTCATATGTGAAACCAAAAATGTCTAGACATTCCCAAATGTCCCCTGGGGAGACAGGACAAAATCACCCCCAGTGGAGAACCACACCTAGACCCCATACCTTTGAGAGAGGTTTGATTGGTGTGATGCTGGACTGACATAGTCTCCTGAGCAAATGCAGCAGCACGACTGCAGCCTATTTGCTTATTTCATGGTAAGAAATTCTTTCATGCAGAGGAAAATTTTAAAATACTGATAAACTAAGGAGCAAGATCTAGAGCCCGCAAAAGTGAGATCAGGTTGTCAAAAATGGGATCAGGCAGCAGCAGAAACCTGAATCTGTTTTGCTTCCATCTATAGTGTATACCTCAGAAGCAATGGTATGTTATACTAGAACATTTCAATGTGTGGTTCATATGCAACTGTTTGCTTACAGGTGGAGTTGGAGGTATATGACTTCTTTTTTGAAAGGAGCGCACCTATTACTGTCCACATCTCTGTCAGAACAGCAGATACAAATGCTCCGCGAGTGTCCTGGAACACAGGTGAAGCTCATGTGGGATTCAAGCCCCAAAGGGAACACAAAGTATATGGGTCGGGAAAGAAAGGCGGTTTTATTCCCATTTCACACATGGGGCCACTGAAACCCAGACAGGTTAGGGACATCAGATAGTTGGTTTTGTTTCGTTTTTCCTACTTGCAGGGTGAGAAATTTAAATCCAGGATTCCTGAGTGCTGGAGACAAGTTCTTTCCTCTGCAGGAGATAAGCCAAAAGGACAACTTTCACCTGGATGAGGCAAAAAAGTGACAGTTTTTGATACTGAGCTATAGTTAGAGAGAGAAAAGGTCTCCAACTCAAATTGTTTAGAGGGATAGAAGAATGGCATAGACTGGTGCCCTCTACGTTGTTCTATGCTTGAGTTGGGCTGCATGGAAACCACAGTACGTAAATAAGAGCTTACACTGCTTTATTTGTTTGAAAAGAATGCTTTGCTCTGCCTCTCATTTCTGAGTGGACTTATAATGCAATGTATATATTTAGGTCAGACGTAAATGTAGAATGTCAATGAATGTTGTTTTTTTCCCCCCACTAATCCCATCAGTATTATTCAAAAACATACTTATAAGCAATAGTGGTAGGTTCTGTGAAGGGGATAATATCTGTGACTGATTTAAATCCTCAGGTGGGAACTTAAATGTGTTGCCTCTTGTGTTTGTGTGTGTGTGTGTGTGTGTGTGTGTGTGTGTGTGTGCGCGCGCGCGCGCGCGCGCGCGCATGCGTGCTTGTGTGCTTGCACGGGTACATGCACGCACACATATGTGTTTGTATGCATGTGAGCCTGTAAGAGAACTCCAAATCTGGTTTTGGCTACTTTGGACATTAGGATACTTTTGAAAATGAATTTTTACTTATTATGAACTTATATGTTCATCATTGATAACTTGGAAAGCACATTAAACAGAATAAATAATGATGAATGGTCATGAATAAATGAATGAAATAGTATGAATGAATAAAATCATTCATTGCTCCACCATGAAGCCATAACCACTTAATTTTTTGTTACATGTACTTCTAGTCCTCTTGCTTGCTCTGTTGCTGTGTCCCATGATGACTTGTCTTGTGCCAGTCAGCTTCACAACCTTTATTACCAGTCACAGAGATTCTTTACATCTACTTCTCCTTCCCCTGTACCTCCCTTTTGTCCTCCCTTCCTCCCTCCCTTCCTTCCTTTCTTCCTTCTTCTGAATATGCTACATGTCTTAGCCCAGGTTCCCTTAGCAACAGCCCCTGAGGCAGGTTGTATGCTTTAACCCTACACTGCAAAGTAGAGTAAGGGGAAAAGGGAAGTCAAAGTAGTAAGGCTGAGCTGGTCACAGCTTTACAAGAAAATAAAGCTGTTGGCTTGGTAGTGCTGATGTCTCCGGGAGGAGATGGAACCACTGTGTTGGGGAGAAGTCAGGGGTGGGGTGGAGAAAGGGTGAACAGCCTCTCAACTTCTTCCCATCTCCGTTCTCTTCATGGTCAGTTTGCCTCACTGGATATTTTGATTCCTTTAGTTACAAAAATCCCTTCCTTATTAGAGTCTAAACTAAAATACAACCTTTATTGTAAAACGTCAGACACTTCATGTCTAACACCTTTAAACACTGTCTTAGTGCAATAGCTCTGTTTTTGCATATTTAACCACTTTACATTCTCATACATACTCATAAGTTACAGTTGACCCTTGAACAACACATGGGGTTTGGGTATGCTGACCTTCCAGGTAGTCAAAAATCTGTGTACATAACTTATGACTCCCCCAAAACTTAACTACTAATAGTCTACTGTTGACTGGAAGCCTTACCGATAACATAAAAAGTTGATTGACACATATTTTGTATGTTATATATATTATATATTGGACTCTTACAATAAAGTAAACTAGAGAAAAAAATGTTATTAAGAAAATCATAAGGAAGAGAAAATACATTTAGAGTAGTTATTGAAAACAATCTGCATATCTCATTGTTCAAGGTTCAACTGTATATCGAAAAGAACTGACTGTTTTGCCCACAAAATATGTGGATATAGCCTTTGAAAAACTCCTTGTGGAGATTATTGAACTAGAGATCACCGTGAACATAATATCTGTTCTTTCCTTTGGTGTTTATTTTCTGGCACCATCACGTCTCTAAAGGATATGTCACAAGGAACCAATTGTCAGATTGGAGTTAGTAGTACTGAAAGTAAAAGTATTACTAAAAATAGAAGCTAAATTTCAGTTCCTTGAAAAGCTTTTGAAGATGCACTTTTCAGCTAGTTCTGTGAGTTAAAATTCATTAATGTTGTCTTAAAGTAGGCTTGTTGACATGTCATAGAACATTGCAGGACATTTTTATTTTGTCCTGTAGGTCTGAATCTCCTGGAGGGGCAGTCTCGGGCCATCACTTGGGAACAGTTTCAGATTGTCGACAGTGATAACATTCGTGCTGTACAGCTAGTCACCGTGGATGGCCTGCAACATGGACGGCTCACAGTAAGAGGTGATGACCAAGCTTTGTAACCTAGAAAAGAACCCAAGATGTACAATCTCCAAAAGCAAATCATATTTAATAGGATCTAGTGAATTATCGTATCCCCAAAATGTGGAGATCTTGAAACTGTTGGCTTTTGTGTTAAGGTGTTCACATCATTGGATGACTATTTATGAGCAGAGCCGTATGCTTAGCTCATTAATTAAAGCTCAGATACTGTGTAGGGCTTCTTCTACATACACTCCTTAACTGATTATCTTATCATAGTTGACAAAATATTTACCTCTCATTTCTCTGCTTCAGAGAAATGTGTTGAAAAACAGAAAAACATATTTTGTTTTTTTTAATACTTTAGTAATCATTTTGTTATTATGATATTAGAAGCAGTGACCATAGTTTAAAGAAAATGAATTTATAATTATAATGATAAGAATGGTAGTAAAGGTTAATGGGCCTAATAAAAATAATAACCATACTTTATGAGCTTAGAAGATTTAATTCAATTATCCTCTTAGCTTGTGTAATAGTAAAGCAGAAAGAGAGCTCTTATTTATCATCAGCTGTGATTAGGAAATTCTGAAATCAAAAATAAAATGATACATTCTCTTGCCTAATCCCAAGACATTGGGAGGTCAGCTTAAGATTGGGTGTATTAAGTAGGGAGGATTTTCAGCTGCATGTAAGGGACACCCAACTACAGTGGCTTAAAAATTCATTATCTTCCCCATGTGACAAGTTGTCCAGAAGTAGGTATTCCATATCCACGATGCCAGAAGCTCTTTTCTGCTGTCAGTGGTCACAAGATGGCACCTATACCTCTAGGCTTCTGGTCTGCATTTGAAGAAGGAAGAGAATGAAAAAAGTTGTTCCAACTGAGTTTGCCCTCTTTAACAACTTGTCTCAGGAGTATGATACAATGACTTTTACTTAAGTCTCCTACAAACTCACATATTACCTCTAAGTGCAGCGGAGTCTGGGGACATCATAAAAAAAAAATCATAATGCCATTCTAAATAGAACTAGGATTCTGGTACTGAGGAAGAAGCAGAAAGTGGCTATTGGGCAAGTAGCTTATAGTGTCCATTACACTAGTGTTTAATCATTATTCTAGTGAGATCTTTAACACAAACATATGTATGGCGTGGGGAGAGTAATGAGGCACCAGCCATCAAGAATTATAATAGTTAATGCAGAGTGAAGCAATGTTTATTAATGCTGTGAAATGAAATGTAGAATGGTAGCCCATAAGACAATGATGCTCCGGGCTCAGAGGAGATAGAAAACAGTACTGATATTTATTAAGCATTTACTTTGTGCCAGATGCAGTGCAAAGCGTTCTATAGGCTTTATCTTATATCAACTTTATGAAGTGAGGTACTAGTATATTCCCACTTTCCAAATGGGGAACCTGAGACTTTGAGATGCTGACTTTTCAAAAGTCATGTACCTAGAAAGTGGCAGAACTAGGATTTTGAACCTAGGCCATTTGCTACCAGAGCTCTAGCTCTTGGCCAATAAGCCAGCAATTCTCAAACTTTAGCCTGCGTTAGACTCTCCTGGAGGGCTTGATAAAACCCATATTGCTGGGCCCCACCTGCAGAATTTCTGATTTAGTAGGCCTGGGGTAGGGCCTGAGAACTTGCATTTCTAACAGCTTCCCAGATAATGCTGCTGCTGCTGGTTGGAGACCACACCTCTAAGAAGTGCTGCCGTGTAAGATGATAACAGTGAGTTAAAGAATAATTAACATTTGTTGTAAGCTTCCTATTGTTTAAGTTCTCTCATCCATACTAGGGAATATGAGGTAGATATTATTCCCCTTTTATAGATGAATCTCAAATAAATTAAATATCTTACCCAGTCTGCACAGCTCATAAGTGTCACAGTCAGTGTGTTAAATCGGGTCTGTGGAGGCCCAGAGCCCACTAAACAGTCTGTTGTTTTTCCAGGCAAGGTAAGTATCAGCTGCACCACTTTCCTTAATGGCCTCTTGTCTAGTGTTGCTTTCACTACAGGTGCTGCCTTTGTATCCTCTTGTTTTAGTCAGCGCCATCTCTGCTCTCTCCTTTAGGGGGAAAAGGATTTCTCTTCACTGTGGCTGACCTTCAGGAGGGAGTCGTTCGCTATCATCACGATGACAGTGACTCCACCAAAGACTTTGTGGTCTTCAGGATATTTGATGGCCAGCATAGCATCCGCCATAAGTTTCCTATCAACGTCTTGCCCAAAGATGACAGCCCCCCGTTTCTCATAAACAATGTTGTGATTGAACTGGAGGAGGGACAGACCATACTGGTCCAGGGGTCCATGCTGAGAGCTTCAGACATAGACTCCAGTGATGACTACATCTTCTTTAATATCACACAACCGCCACAGGCTGGAGAGATTATGAAGAAGCCAGGGCCAGGACTGATAGGTAAGTTCTGGGCAGTTAAGATCATGTGTGTCAGAATTCATGCAGAGGTTGAAATCAAATTTATGAGGTAAGATACAATTATTATCCCCATTTTATAGGTGGAAAGCCTAAGACTTAGAGAAACTAAGTTGATCTATCCAAGGATGGGCATCTGGAAAGTTCTAGAAGGTAACCATTACTCTAGGAAAAATTAAGACTGCTAAGCACAGTGATAGAGCAAATAAGTCTGAAGAGAAATGTTTGTCCTATTCTAGGTGATTGGTAAAGTAATCTCATGAATATTTGCTTACATTTTGTTAGAATAATTTCATAACTACTTCTTAAAGTAGTCAGGAGTAACAAAATAGGGATCAAGTAGTTAGTGTTCCTTAAGACTATGTTTCTTAAAAATATTTTTCTAATGCTAATTTACATATTTTAAGACAAGTTTGGCAATTTTAATTTTTCTGCTTTATTATTTATAAGCTTTGATAAAAGCTGTTAATGAAGATTCATTGGATACATACAACATATTAGGCAGAGAAGACTTAGCGATGTCCAATATCTTTATACCTCAATGCCTGGCAGATGGTTACAAAAATATTTGGTGTTTTGTGGACCCAATAGGTTATCCTGTCCCTGGCTTCCTTCAGAGGGATTTATTTAATGGCATCATTTACTATCGTCACTTTGGTGGAGAAATCTTTGATGATTCTTTTGAATTTGTCCTGTGGGACAGCCATGAACCTCCAAATTTCTCAGTGCCACAGGTAAGAGGACATTTCTAAACACTGTCCCAAAATCTTGTCCACAGATATCAATTCTGGGAAATGTTATTAGAAACTACATAAAAATAGTTTTTAATGTTTAAAGTTTGAGAAGCAACAGATTAAGCAAAATTAAGTCAATTTCTTTTTTAAAGATTTTTATTGGGGAATTGGGGGGATGGGAACAGCGCTGGGGAATTGGGGGAAGGGGAACAGACAAGTTGCTGTCCTTTTGTTCTTCAATCTAGTTGTGGAGGACATTGCTTCAATGGCCCAAGTTGGCACCATCATTGTGCTCTTCCTGGGCAAGGCAAATCAGTCGCTGGCTTCTGGACGGCCGCTCACTGAGGCTGCTGGCCGCTCACGCTGGCTGCTGGCTACATACGGTAGCCCATGGCAACCCACTGCCACAGGGGCTGCAGCCTATGCCGTCGCCGGGGACTCCCGGCACCCAGCTCCAGGTTGAGCTGTTGTTCAGCATCTTAGCTGTAGAGGGCAGTGTCACTGGCCCTCATATGTGGGATCCGAACCGGGGCCCTCTGGCATCCCAAGCCAGCTCTTAACCAACGCGCCACTCGGCTGGCCCTCAGCTACATCCTTTTAATTTAGGACAATTAAAATCCTTTGATACAGTAATGGTACTTTTAGTAGAATCCATCTAGCATCCATTTTTACCAAATTCTCCCTCTTCTGATTCTTGGCAACTTTAGCTTAGTTCCTTTCCAGACTATGGACCTGCTCTAAGCCATAATGTCACCTGCTCCTAGAATCATTCTCTGATGTCCCCATTCCACAATTCCCCTAGGCTCGGTCAGCTGGTCCTTTTATATGACCTGATATCAAATCACTATAATGTGAGGCTATTATTTGTTTTATTGGATCAACTGTGAGCTCATTGATGGCAGGAATCCTGAATTATTCATCTGTGTGTCTTCAGACCTTAGTCCCTGACTCAGAGCAGAATCTCAAGAACTATGTGTTGGTCCCAAATGGATGCTGGTTCTTTCAAGTTTTATTAAAGATAGGAGGAAATAAGAAGACTGAAACATTTGGTAGAAACTGAGGAGTCAGTGAGATGAGGAGGTAGTAAGTATAAAGTTTTATTCTTTGGAGTTTCGAGGAATTAGTGTATGCATAAGGACAAAAGAAGTAGAACAAGGATTTCTGGTCAATATGATGGAGTAGGTAATTAAAGTGCTTGCCTCCTCTCATGACCATCAAAATTACAACTAAACTACAGAGCAGACATCACGGAGATTTGCTTGAAGTCTAGCTGCACAGAAGTTCTACAACTTAAGGATATTTAGAAGGCGTATTGAGACTGGTAGAAGGGGCAGAGACGCGAAATGGGCTGGTCCTACATTAGCACTAGTGGCACCTGGCCTCAATTCACAGCTTAGTCCCTCCTAGGCCCCTCCAAGCCTAGTGTAGGTGGCGGCCATCTGTAGATTGCGTAGTGGCTCATTCCAGGTAGCCCTGGTCAGGGTGCAGGCTGAAGCTGAACTTGGCCTGTGGCAGGGCCCCTCCCAGGAAACCCTTTGGAACAATCTGGAGGACCACCTGGTTGCCTCTGAGGGATGACACACCTGAAAGGCAGACTGGGCAGGCACCAGAGCCCTGGTTAAAGTGAATCCTGCTCCAGAGGGTCAGCCCCTGCACAATAGCCCCTCCACTGTAGTCATGGGCAGTTCTTATAATCAACCAGCCTGAGGGTCAATCCTTCCCACTGACATGCAAACAGCAACTAAGGCTCAACTACAACAGGAGGACACACACAATCCACACAAAGGGACACACCTGGAGCACCCAGCTCAGGTGACCAGGGAGACTGTGCCACAGGGCCCCACAGGACACCTACTACATGAGGCCACTCTATTAAGACTGAGAGACATGGCAGTTCTGCCTAATACATTGAAACAAATACAGGGAGGCAGCCAAAATGGGGAGACAAAGTAACATGTCCCAAATGAAAGAACAGAGCAAGGCCCCAGAAAAAGAACTAAACAAAATGGAGACAAGCAATCTACAAGATGCAGAGTTTAAAACACTGGATGTAAGGATGCTCAATGATCTCAGTGAGAACTTCAGCAAAGAGATAGGAAACATAAAAATGGAGATAGAAAACATAAAACAGAACCAGTCAGAAATAAAGAATACAATAACTGAAATGAAGAATACATCAGAGGAAATCAACAGTAGATTAGATGTAGCAGAGGATCGAATCAGCTATTTAGAAGATAAGGTACCAGAAAACACCCAAATAGAACAGCAAAAGAAAAAGGAATATAAAAAAATGAGGACAATTTAAGGGGCCTTTTGGACAATATCAAGCATACCAACATTTGCATCATAGGGACACGAGAAAGAAAAGAGAGAGAGCAAGGAATTAAAAACCTATTTGAAAAATAATGATAGAAAACTTCCCTAGCCTGGTGAAGGAAATAGACATACAAGTCCAGGATGTGTAGAGAGTCCCAGAAAGATGAACCCAAAGAAACCCACACCAAGACACATTATATTTAAAATGTTAAAGCTTTAAGGCAAAGAGAATCTTAAAAGCAGCAAGAGAAAAGCAGTATAGTTACCTATCAGGGAGCCCCCATAAGACTGTCAGCTGATTTTTCAACAGAACATTTGCAGGCCAGAAGGGATAGGCACGAAAAATTTGAAGTGATGAAAAGACAGGATCTACAACCAAGATTACTCTACCCAGCAAAGCTATCATTTAGGATTGAAGGACAGATAAAGAGCTTCCCAGAGGGTAGCTGAGTGGCGCGTTGGTTAAGAGTTGGCTTGGGAAGCCAGCTCTGAGCAGCAGGGCCACGGTTTGGATCTGACATGAGGGCCAGTGACACTGCGCCCTCTACAGCTAAGATGGTGAACAACAGCTCGACCTGGAGCTGGGCTGCTGTGAGTTGCCCGCGACAGCGTAGGCTGCAGGGGGCCTGGCTGGCAGCAGGTGTGAACCTTTGTGAGCCGCCTTGAGCGACCGTCCAATGGCTGACGACCGATCTACCTCAGCTGGGAAGAGCGCAATGATAATACAAACATGGGCCAGTGAAGCAACGTTCTCAACAACTAGACTGAAGAATAAAAGGACAGCAACTTGTCTGTTCTTCTTCCCCGATTCCCCAACGCTGTTCCCCTCCCCCAATTCCCCAATAAAATTTTAAAAAACAAGAACAAAAAAAACTGTATGGTGTCAGATGGATACTAGACTTAAAAGAAAAAAAGCTTCCCAGACAAGAAAGAAAATGCAAAGGAGGTAACCCCAAACCAGTATTATAAGAAATGTTAAAGCGAATTCTTTAAGAAGAAGAAGAAAAATTATGAATAATAAAATGGTAATAATTGCATATCTATCAGCAATTAATTAAATTTAATTAATTAAAAGTAAATAGAGTAAATACTTCAATCAAAAGATAGCATAGAGCCGTCCAGAAGCTGGCGACTGATCTGCCTCTCCAGGGAAGAGCGCAATGATGGTGCCAACTTGGGCCAGTGAAGCAACGTCCTCCACAACTAGATTGAAGAACAAAACGACAGCAACTTGTCTGTTCCCCTTTCCCAATCCCCCAGCACTGTTCCCATCCCCCCAATTCCCCAATAAAAATCTTAAAAAAAAAAAAGATAGCATAGATAAATGGATAAGAAAACAAGACCTTTACATATGCTGACTATAGGAGGCTCACTTAAGATCAAAAGACACATGCAGACTGAAAGTAAAGGGGTGGAAAAAGAAAAGATATTTTATTAAAATGGAAAAATAAAAAAAAGCTGTGGCAGCAATAGTTATTCCAGACAAAATAGACTTTAAGACAAAGGCTATATAACAAGAGACAAAGAAGGACCCAGTAATCCACTTCTGGGTATTTATTGGAAGAAACTCAAAATGCTACTTTGAGGAGACATGTGCATCCATATGTTCATAGCATTATTTACAATAGCCAATATATGAAGGCAACCTGACTGTCCATCAGTGGATGATTGGGTGAAGAAGAGGTGGTACATATATACAATGGAATATTACTCAGCCATCAAAAAGAATGAAATATAGCCATCTGTAACAACATGGATGGACCTAGAGGGTATTATGCTGAATGGAATAAGTCAGAGAAAGCAGATGCCATATGGTTTCACTTATATGTGAAATCTAAAGGACAAGATAAATGAACAAACAAAACAAACAAACTCATAGATACAGAGAACATTTTGAGGGTTACCAGATTGGAGGGGTGTGGTGGGCTGGGTGAAAAAGGTGAAGGGTGAAAAAGTACAAATTGGTACTTATAAAATAGTCATAGGGATGTAAAGTATAGCACAAGGTTTATAGTCAATAATATTGTAATAACTCTGTATGGTATCAGATGGGTACCAGGTTTATCGAGGTGATCACCTCATGAGTTATACAAATGTCTGATCACTATGTATTACACTTAAAACTAATACACTGTATTTCAACTTTAATTGAAAAAAATATATTAAAATATAGAACAAAACACGTATTTTGTGTGTGTGTGCTGTAAACATTTTTGTGTTGTAGAACCCTGATAACTTCATTGAAAGTTCAATTTTTAAAGGATGTAAATGATGATATAGTTTTCTGATGATAACATCTTCAATTTGGGCAAGTGCCATGATACTTGTTGTTAAAATAGTTAACAAAATCTGTAACTTTCAGTTGTTCAACTAAAAGTCCAGGCAAGAGGATTACTTGATGGGAGCTTTTGTGATCAGAAGGCTCCACTGTCATTAAAGATGAAGTTAAACTAAGGCACAGGGTTGTTTAGGCCATACTATTAGAACACTTACTTTGGTGGAGGCTGAAACCAAACACACCCTCAGGTAAGAAAGAATATAATTAAAGCTCGAAGGAAATTATATAAACAGGGATGCCCTTTACCGCCTCTCATCCTTCCCAACTGAATATTCCTTCTGAAAGATCTACCTGCACGTCAACAAGGTGGCTACATGTCAGCAAGAAACTCCCTCCCTCTTTTTATATTAACTGCCATTACTGTCATCAAATAGAGCCTCATCCCCTCAATTTGCTTTTGAAAAATGATTCTTTTTTTATTTCTCTCAGTAGAGGGCTTTATGGAACTTAAGCCTTAGGACAGCGGTTCTCAACCTGTGGGTCGCTACCCCTTTGGGGGTTGAATGACCCTTTCACAGGGGTCGCCTAAGACCATGGGAAAACATATTTTCGGTGGTCTTAGGAACCGAGACACCGCTCCTCTATCCATCTCCAGGTGGGTCTGCCCACATGCAGATACGCCCACATATGAGTACCTGGCTTCAAGACAAAATTTAATTTATTTTTGTAATTAGAAATTTCACAATATATAATTACATATTGTTTTTGTGCGTAATCACTGTGCTTTAATTATGTTCAATTTGTAACAATGAAAATACATCCTGCATATCAGATATTTACATTACAATTCATAACAGTAGCAAAATTACAGGTATAGAGTAGCAACGAAAATGATTTTATGGTTGGGGGTCACCACAACATGAGGAACGGTATTAAGGGGTCGCAGCGTTAGGAAGGTTGAGAACCGCTGCCTTAGGAGGTCTTAAACCAACAGAAAGAGTAGCATTAGAAGTAAGATGAGGTGTGCAAAATAAGGATAGAAGAAAGAAGGAGAAAGGACTAAAACAATCAGAAAGGAAGCAGGTGTCCCACATCTGGAAGTGACCTGGAAGGAAGCAATAAAACACGACAGGATGAGAGAACAGGCACCCAGCGCGTGGACATTTATCAGAAGCGAGGCCAGAAAGCAGGATGGACACAACTGGCACTGGAAGCAGTTCCTGGGCTGAGAAACAGCACTGGGTAATGTCAAAAGAAGATGTAAGATAAAGAATCAGGCAGGAATCAAAGCTCCGGGCAGAGAAAGGATCAAGAACCCAGGTCTACAAGAAAAATATCTAATGAACACGATTCTGAGAGTCAAGGTTAGGCTGCGTCATTTTGTATACTGATTTCTCCCTTTAAAGTCTGATTCCCTACAAGTCTGTATTGTGGGTGCTTGTGACTGTAAGGAGATCGGCACGTAGGGGAAGCCAGCAAGCAAGGGCCCAGTGATTGGTCTGGGCACTAGTTTTCCACTCTCTGGGAATGGGTATTTAATAATGTCTTTTTATAACCAAATTTCAGTAAAATGAGCACACTTTATTTCTCTGTGGAGTTTCTTCAAATAAGGTTTTTCTCATCCACCGACACACACAAACACAGTAATTGTTTAAACATGAATAAATATGTAAAGACACATCAACTTAGGGGATCATAAAGCATGTTGAAAAATGTGCCCACCAAGAATTACTACAGGGGTATAAAAAGGCATGCTTGTACATTCTTTTTATACAAAGAATACATTGGAGAATAAATTAGCATGGAAAATGGTCTCTCTGAAGGCACAATGACTATTGTTTCGTTATTAAATCCAGTTTTTCAATTAAGTGGAGCCTCACTGATCCACACTATGGCTGGGAGGGTCCCATAGAGAATTTCTGAACTTTGTAGATTAGCGGAAAACTATAATTGAAAAAAAAAAAAAAGTGACACAGACTCCGGGAGGCTAGAAAAATGATTGTCATTGTGTTCCTTTATTTTGATGACCGGTTTTGGTGTTTAATTATTGCAATCCTTCATAATGGAATAGTAAATACGCTGTACACTTTTGTAAAAGTAATGAAGGATGGAGACAGGGAATTAATTTATTGAACACCTCCTACCAAGTACTCTCTGTACTACCAGCCATGTCATTGGATCCTGACAACACTTCACTATGATAGCCATTGTTATTACTCCCAATGGACAGAGGGAAAAACTGATCCCAAAGGGGTTCGATGATTTGCCCCAGGGAGCACAGCTTGTAGGTGGCCAAGCTGATGTCCCATAGTAAAAGCTTAATCATGTTTTAGTTTTCGCTTTGTATGTCACCTTAAAAAGGAATTCTCTCCATTTTCAAATTGGGTATTGGGAACACCATTATTGTAGACAAAATTGGCACTGCCGATCTGTGCTTCAGTGATAATATTACACTTATTAAAATAAATTTAAATAAATTTATTAAAATATTAAATGTGTTAAAATAAATCAAAACCAGGGAAAGAATACTCACAATACCAAGCAAATGTACCATTTCAAGGGACAGCAGATAATTGCTTTCTCATACCACTTGTGGATTATTGTAAGAAAATGTGATGATAAAAGCTGTTTGGTAAATCCTTCTTGCCCTCTAGCAGCATCCAAACCTGTGAGTATGGTTTTAAAAATTCTTAAAATTACAAGGGCATGTTGACTCATTTAGTTAGCAAACACTGACGAGGTGCTTCTACCTACAGAATACCCTGCCAGATGTTGTTAGAGCTACAGAGATGAGATGAACATTTTTACTGAGCACCTACTATGTCCCAGATATTTTATCTACACAGTGATACTTGGCCGTCATAACCACTCTGTGAGGTTGTCAGTGTTATGCTTAACTTACATACAAGGAAACTGATATTTAAAGAAGTTGAGTGACTTGTTCAAGATCAATAGCTACTAGGTGATATACTGAGGAGTTTAACTGTCCACTACCAAATTCCTTATGGTTTGTATTATACTATGAGCCTCCTCTATGGAACTTTCAGTCTGGGAGAGACTGACATAGAAAGTACTAATAATACAGGACAATCAAATAATGTTTTTTGAGGGAAAAGCAAAATTCAGGAGCAATTAATTCCAACTGAGAAATTGGGGAACGTTTCAGGAAGAACTTTCAATTATAAGAACTCAGGAGAAAGCAGGGGAAAAGCATTCCAGATTGAAGAAACAACATGATCCAAAGCATAGAGACATGTTTGAGGATCTAGTCTTTCGTGTGCAACTAGAGTGTTGTGTTAACATTGAAAGGAGTAAAAGATAAAATTGAAAAATAGACCGTCTAAACTATGGAGGGTTATATATATCTCATATATACACAATAAATATGTAAAAAATAAAATACCCATCATATTGGCAAAAAAGTCACTATAAAAATAAAAACAAACTGTAGAGAGTCTTAGATATCATGGTAAGTTTGAATAATTCTATCCCTTCTGAGTGGTTGTTTAAGATTTTTGAGGAGGTGAATAACCTGATTTGATTTGCATTTTTTTTTAAAGATTTGCATTTTTAAAAAAGATAATATTAGAGGTAGGTAAGTCTAGATTAGCCATTGGAGTCAGGGCTAACAGAAAGCTGTTGCAATAGCTGTAAGGAAGAAGTTATGAGAACTGGAGCTGGGCCAGTGAATAGTAGGCATGACAGCTGGGGTGGGAGTGGGGTGTGGTCACTGTACAGGAATTTTATAAGTATTGGGTTGTTGGAAAAGTTATGACGTATTTTTCCTATGTTTTTCATTGCAAAAATGCATCATGATATTTCCAACAGTCCAATAGAAACTCTGGGAGGTGTGTTATACGTATGTGGGTGGAGAAAGGGGGAACCAAAAGTAATGTCAAGGTTTCTAGAATCAATGAGTAGAGGGGGGTAGGAAAGCACAGGTTGTTGGTGGAAGGGAGATGTAGAAATACCAATTCTATAGCGCTTATGGCCAAATTAATTACAATTGTGATAATTACATTCTTATAACATAAAAATGGGTGGAGAATGTTCCATTTTTGGCTCATATTCTTAATAGCTCCTGAGTCATTTCAATGGAAATATAATTGACAGTTTTTGAAAATCAAAAATCACTAAGACTAGGTGATTGTGGGATGTTTGCTTTGGTGTCTTTTTGGTATTTCAAGTTAATGGTACAGATAATTTCTTTCCAGGTGGTAACAATCCATATCACACCAGTGGATGACCAGCTTCCAAAAGAGGCACCGGGAGTTTCTCGGAATTTGGTTGTCAAGGAAACTGAGGTGGCCTACATAACTAAGAAACATCTACATTTTATAGATACAGAATCGTATGACAGGGAGCTGCTGTACACAATAACAACTCCTCCATTTTTCTCCTTCCGCCACAGGTATCTGTATGACAAGTCCTCACCTGGGCTGTTAGTGAAGGGTTGTGTGATAGGACTGCAGAGTCGAAAGTGTCACTATGGTTCAGTTGCTTTGTTTGTCAGACATGAACTTACATTCAAGTCAGCATTTACTCTAATCTCAAACTTATATCTGCCTTCATAGCCGGTATTAATTGGTAAGTGATCTGTATCTTATAGTGTCTTCAGCTTAGGTAAGCTGAAAGCAGTCTTTAATCCCCTTCCTAAAAAAACAACACTTTTTTCTTCTTTTTAGTAAAATTTATTGAGTCATTATAACATTAATTTAAGGTATTGCAGGCCACAGAATGGTCATATTCTATGATTCCAATTCAGAAAAGTGGCATGAATATACCTTAGGCTCGTATCGGTTATGTGATAGTGAGGAAACATTTTTAGGATGAGAATAGGGTTTCTCTTTCATGATGGCAAAGCCAAAAATATTGTACATACTTTTTGCATTAATGATGAGAATAGCATTGATGAGATTGGACTTATGGCGAGAAACCCCCAATATAAAGAGAGAATATGAAGGTGGAATATTTGATTTTTTTCCCCACAATGAACTGTCTTAGCTTTTTTTTTTTTTAATTGGTTTTGGCTATTCTACTTAATTTTTTTTGTTACCTAGAAAATGAGTGAAAGTGTTCTCTTATATTTCTCTTTAGACATTTGGATGCTGGGAAATTATTCATGGTGGACAGCATACCAAAGCTAACCAAAAATCCTTCAGCCCTGGGCCTGAAGTCATTCACTCAGGTAGGATGCTATGCTAAAACGTTGAAGAATATGATGGCAGTGTCTTCTGAGAAGTCCTGGTTCTCCTAGCATTGCACTTAAAGATGTTGACCTTTGACATCTGTTACAGGAGCTTGATGTCTATTTACTTTCTGCTTGTACAGTTTGTATTAACATGTGACATCTATTTGACAATGTTTGATCAACCTGGGTATGATTTCAAAACCTTGTTGTAATTCAACAGACTTTTGCACTGTTCTGCTAGCAGCAGGGCTGTGATCGAGGGACCTGGTGCCTATGTTTTCAGTCCACCAAATTCAGTTTTTCTAATATCCTATCATATTAGTGTGCTAGAGCTGCCATAGCAAAGTGCCACAAACTTGAGTGGCTTAAAACAACTGAGATTTATTGTTACAGTCCTGAAGCCTGGAAGTCTGAAAGCAAGGTGTTGGCAGGGCCACACTGTTTCTGAAACCATGCCGGGGAGCCCTTCATTGCCTCTTCCCAGCTTCTGGGGGTTTGCCGACGACGATCTCTGACATTCCTTGGCTTGTAGGTGTATTGCTCCGACCTCTGCCTCTGTCATCCCATCGCCACCTTCTTCCTGTTTGTCTCTCTTCTCTTATTATAAGGTTACCACTAGATTAGATTAAAGGCCCACTCTTCTTCACTGTGACGTCACCTTAACTTAACTAATTATGTTAATTAACTTAATTAACATCTGCCACAACCTTATTCCCACATAAGGTCACATTCTGAGGTACTGGGGCTTAGGACTTCAACATAGCTTTTTTTAGGGGGACACAATTCAACCCATCACATCTTCTGCCTTCCAAAATTCTTATCAGTCCTCTCCCTACTCCTGTGGAACCTACTCTCTAGATCCTCACAGGCGCCACAATAACGGCGACAAGTGCTTAGATAATAGCCCCCTCTGTGGTTTGGGGCTTAGTTATGCCTAATGTTACTGTAGTGGGAAGTTGTAAATGAGTATGTCTACCCCATCTGGTAAGTACTATCATTTTATTTATTTTACAGATAAGGAAGAAGAGGCCTAGCTGGTAAAGTAGACTGACTAATATCACACAGCTACTTAAAGTAGTAGAGCTGACACATGAGCTCTGCGTATGGCGGAGCTGGGTTAAAATTCCAGTCTCCTGTCTTACAGAGCTGGCTGGCTTCAAGCACCTGATATATTGTATTGACTTGATTTCTTTGTCATTTTCCCTCCTGATTTTTAGAAAAGGTGCCATATAAAAATAGACCTTTTTTGAATCTTCAAATTGATGATGGTGGCATTTACAAAGTTTGATATCGTTTAACATGATGGTTCTCTTAGACTTAGATCGCCGAACACTGATCCTTGAAAATTGGCACCCCTATCTCACTCGTGGTTTGCTTTTCAGGATGCTGTGAACTATATGAAAGTGGCCTACATGCCCCCTATGCATGACATAGGCCCCCACCTACAGCACGTCCAGTTCACGTTTTCCATCAGTAATCAGCATGGTGGTACTTTGCACGGGGTCTGCTTTAACATCACAGTTCTTCCAGTGGACAACCAAGTGCCTGAGGTATGTACGGGATGAAGGATGAAAAGGAGGGAGGACCTAAGGAGAGCAACGAAGGACTTGAAGACGCATTGGAAATGCTGGCTTTTCTTTAGGCTATTTTAAATAGCCTTTTGTTTTCTAGTTACAGTATAGAAAACAAAAGCATGGTAGGGGAGTCCTTCACCTCCCACGGGACTCTATTTAAAGGTGAGATTTCCCAGTTGCTGAATTTGGCATTGTTTTCAAAGCTTTATCAAAATCTCTTTGCTTTTCGCTGTGTTTCACATGCTGATCCGGGGAAGGGGATTAAATTATGGGTCTCTTTGCAAGCAGAGGAGTTTATTTGCTCTCACCACAGGCCACCTATGCCACTGTGTAATCTAAAGAAGCTTTTAATTTTCCAAAGTGAATTAAGATGGAACCTTCCGTTCTATCCCACTACTCCCCAATGTTTATATAAGCTTTAAAGTGTGGGGCTCTTTCATGAGCACTGAACTACAAAGGCGATGCCATCTTGTGTATCTCATCTGAGAGGCCGGGGTTTATACTGAGAGTTTGTTCCATACCCTGCCTCCTCTCCACCAGAATGCTAGACTTTATTCGTGTGGCTATGCCTGGGCTCCTTTTCCCCCTAAAAAGTGAAAAGACAAAGTAGGATTACCCATTCATTAGGAACCTTAGTGGACTAAAACCTACACATATCTCATTCCTAAGTTCACCTTCCCAGGTAGCTAGCTACCTGGAATATACCCAGGAAAGCAGTGATGTTCACTTGGTCGTCATCATCTCTACACCTGACCAAAGCTAAGGTCTTACCCTGAGGGACCAAGAGGCTTACCTAAAGCACGGAACTGGGATTGGGTAAAAAAACAATAGCAGAAAACAATATTTTTAGTATTATTTTTTTATTATTAGTTTCAGGTGTACAAAACAATGTAATAGACATTTCACCCCTCACAAAGTAATAACCCCCTCCCCCAATCTATTGCCCCTCTGACATCATATATAGCTGTTACAAGTCCTTTGACTCTGTTCCCTATGCTGTACTCCATATCCCGTGACCATATGAATATATATATATATATATATATATACACACACACACACACACACACACACACACACACACACACATATATACATATATATGTATACACATATATACAATTATAGTTGGCATACAATATTATTCACCTTCAGCTTCAGGTGTACAGTGCAGTGGTCAGGCATCTACACCGTCCTTGAAGTGGTCTCCCTAACAAGACATGTGCCCATCTGACACCCTACAAAATCTTTACAACATTATTAATTATATTCCCCAAACCGTCTTTCATGTCCCTGTGGAAATATTGTAGTTACCAATTTATGCTGTCTAATCCCTTCCCCTTCTCCCTCATCCCCATCACCCCCAAAAAACCCCAATATTTAAAAATAATGAATTACTAACACTTAAACATTAGGAGATTCCATATCAAGTCTAGACTTCTAGCTTCTACTGAAAATTTGGAAGCTCTGGCAACACTGAGCCTACATACCCCATGGCAACAGTGGGACAAGGCCTGCTCCCCGGTGACCAAAGTCCCCACCCAACTCAGCACAGCCATTTACATCACGGGCCTGATCTCTCAGGCCTCTGAGCTTGCAATTTTTGGGTAGAAGATGCTCCAAAGAGCTCACACAAAATAATCTAAACTATATATATTTTTGTACTCTTTTCCTGACAGGAACCAGATCACATTCTCTGTAGAGAAAATATTTTAGAAAAATTGTCAATTTGATTAGATTTTATTCAGAGCATCCTTTTCTATGTTCGAGATAGAGGCCTGTAATAGCCCACCATCTAAAGAAGCTCAAGCTTTTTCTAGAACAATCATGGAGAAATAGTCTTCTATTCAGAGCAGTCCAAGTCTCTTGCCAGAGAAAGGTATCTGTGGAGAAAACCAAAAAGGATGACGTGAACAGTTACCTCTTTCCTTTGAAGATAGATAGAACAATTAAGAGGACTTGCCGCTTAAATGGCATAGTGGCTTCTGTCTTTTTTCTACAGTGTAAGAGACAAATGAAATAGTACCTTAGATAACTGAGAGTAGTAGAAATAAAATTAAATGAATAGTGTCAGTAAAACTAGTCACAAGAGTAGTTCCCAGATGTCTGATACCTGCAGATGGTTGGGCTGAGTGATAACCACTAGTGAATCTTGACACCATGCTAACCTAAAGTCCCAGAAACCTAAACCTGGGTTTAGGCAGGGACTGAAAAGTTAATAATTAATGACGGGGGCCAAATGAGCCTTATTCTTTTGTTTTTCTGAAAGTTTCTCTCTGTCTGTCTGTCTCTCTCTCTCCCCCTCTCTCTCTGTATATGTATACCTATACACATATAGGTATATATATATATATATACACACACACACAATATATATATACCTATACACATATAGGTTTATATATACACAAGTATTATTTAAAAATCATCTAATATAGCAAAGTGTATTCCTTGGAACGTTAGCATCTTGGGTCATTAATCAGTGTAACTCAGGAAAAAATGAGGCTGCAGACATGAGCCTTGTTTCAAAGGTAATACTTCTCTCTAAATAAAGGCTCCCTTTATTTCTTTCTCCTACCGGAAGTGAAGATGTAGGTTTGGCAAAATGAGAGTAAGGCACTTGGGAAAGGATGGGGGTGAGGGTGGTTGTAGGGAGACAAGGCTCTTGCTTTTGTGTTTTCCTTTGCTGGTGGACGTAGTTCATTAGAGAGTAGAGGGCAGCTGTCTCAGGGTGGTTGGTCTCATAATTTCTATGATCCACAGGGCTGCCCTTGGGGCATCTCTGGATCCTCCTGGCAGCTGTGCCCTGGTGGGTAGGAGGGTAGAGCAGGGCTCTGATTGGATGCTTCAACTTCTCTTTGCTCACTTCCCTTTCCTCACCCACCTTGTCCTGTCCTGTTTACCAACTCTTTCTTCGGGGAGCATTCTCCATTCTGGGAGCAGCAGCTGCCCTGAGGAGAGTATTTCTTCCTTGGAGAATGCTGTGTCCTCACATTGACAGGGCACCCAGCGCAGCTCATCTGTGAGGGGCCCTCAGAGCATATAACTTGGTCCCCCAACTGTATCTGCTTGCTTTGCTTCTGTGTAGTAATACCAACTGGGGAAAATGCTAGGTTAAACAAAGTTAACGGATTTTCCTACCATAGGATCTCAGAGCATTGAATGTATTTATGTACGTTATAAATCTCCAAGGTAAAGAAATTGTATGTAACAGTTTTCTAGACTTATTTGACTGTAGAACACTGTCAGCATTCAATGTGTTGATAAAACATCACGAGCCCTTCTAACTTTCTTTTTACTTACAAATAAATTATTAGTCAGTTGAGCAGTGGGTTTTTCTATTATAGAAAATATCTTTATGGTTATAATATTTAAATCTAACAGTTTGCATAAATCAATCTGTTTCATATGGAATCTTCAATTTCTAATCTTTGATTTCCCGGTGCCACTTCCATCTCTAAAATACTTGCTACAACTGATGTTGGAAAGCTCCAATCAATTTCCCAAGTCTTTAAGAAATTTTAGGTTGAAAAAAAAGATGGATTCTTTTCTCCCAGGGAATTTGATATAGGTTTTGCTCATTTTGTAGATTAGCATATATATGTGTTGAGCACTGGTGGATGTGACCATGATGATGAATGTCATTTTCTCAATTTAGCACCACTGATGATGATCAATTTGATTGCTCTTACTATGCAGGGTTTGGAATAAATGAAATTTAGATACTTCAGGTTTATGGATCTGCCTTGCTTCTTTGTATACATCAGTGCTTAAACTAGGAAATAAGTATTAAAAAATATTTTCTAGCCTAGATGTTCCACTTATGAACTTGTCCTGTTTACCACATTCTTGAAAAATTAATTAACATGTGAAGATAGTACTAGAATTTTTCTGTTAATTTAATGAGCTCTTTCTTCAGGGACACCTCATGGAACAAGACTTTAAATGTTTCCTTCTGAAGTATATCTGAAGAAAATAAAACCACTATCTCAAAGAGTTACCTGCACCCCCAGTACTTAAAGAGAAATTTACAGTATTAAATGCATACTTGGGGGAACAATTAAAATCATACTATATATGTTTGGGTATGTGTGTATACATACAAGTAAATGTATGCAATTGAAATCAAAGCAATATCTCCACCTTAGAAAATTTAAGAAAGAAGTGAAAATTCAACATAAAACAAGCACAGGAAAAGATATATGTTACAGCAGAATTCAATGGAATTGAAAAGAAAAACAATAAAGAAAATCAGTGAAACCCAAAGCTATATTTTTTTTACAAAAAAATAATTAAATTGATAAACATCTAGCAAGGCTAACCAAGGAAAAAAGAGAAAAGACACAAACTACTATCAGGAATGAAGGGAAAGGCATAACTATGATCCCATAGACATTGAAAGGAAAATAAGAGAGAGCGCCAAACCCTAACCACTAGACCGCCAGGGAGACATAAGAAAAGATGAAATAATGCCATTTGCAACAACATGAATGGGTATTGAAGTTGTCATGCTAAGTGAAATGTCAGACAGAAAAGTTGAGAGCCATAAGATTTCACTCATATGTGGGATATAAAACTGAAAGCAACTAACAAACAAACAAAAACTCATAGATACAGACAACAGTGGTTAACAGAGGGTAAGTGGGGGGCAGGGAGAGGTAGAAGAAGAGGGTAAAGAGGATGACGTCACATGGGGACGGAAGAAATGACTGGATGGTGAACACACAATGCAATATATAGATGATGTGTCATAAAAATGTACACCTGAAACCTATATAATTTTAACCAATGTCACTCAGTAAATTTAATAAAAGTAAAGAAAAAATAAAAAAACAAAATAAAGGTTTCCTTCCTTTTTTCTAGGTTTTTACCAACCCTCTGAGAGTGGCTGAGGGTGGTCACTGCATCATCAGCACAGAGCACGTTTTGGTTTCTGATGAGGATTCCAAATTGGACAACATCTACCTCTCCCTGCAGAGACTGCCTCAGCATGGAAGGGTGGAGCTGAATGGACTTCCTCGAAGCACAGGCATCACATTTTCGTGGGGAGACCTCCATGCCTTAAAAGTTAGGTTAGAACATTTTCTGGTTGTTTTTCTTTACATGCTTTGGCTCCCATCTGGGTCAACAGTGAGGCTGAGAAAGAGAAAGAAGTTTGTCCAGTTCATTCAGAAATAGCAAATATACCACTTAAGACTTTCAAGGGTCAGTTGAAAATTAGAAACGACAAAGTTTTAATTCCCCTCCAGACATTTTCTTTCCCTCTGGCTTGCTGTACCAGTGGGAATGACTTTATGGGTATTTAAACAACAAGAATTCATTACCTTGAATATTAAATTTGCTGAAACTGCACCTATCCCAAGAGGTAACAGTCAAACTAGATGAATATGGACTGAAATCATCTATAAAGTCAATCTACGTAATTGAACTTGGCTTTAAGAAAAGCCATTTTCATAACCCTGGAAACTCTGGGATAGGATTCTATAGATCAATGTCATAAGTGTAAATTTTTATTCCAGTCTACAGGGAAGGGGCTGTGGAGGCAAACAAGTAGGGTAGGCTGGGTAGATAGGGCATGAAGTGGTACTTGCCTCAATGACAGTCAAGGATAGAATAATCCCTACCTCATGGCCCCACAGTAGTTCCCTTTACCTTGAGGTCTTTCATGGTTCTGTAAGAAACTTTTCTACAAAATTTAGTAAAAATCCTCCTCTGTAAAATAGTGCAAAATACTGAAAAGCAATGGTCAGGTAGCCTGACTTACTGGTTAATTTCTCACAAGTTCAAGTTATAAATAGGAATTTTGGGCTTTTTGGTATAGTAGAAGGTATTAGACATCGAATGCTTAGTTCCATCCACACTTGGAAGTTAACTAGGAACTAGGATTTGTGCACAGAAAGATCAATTTCATCTGAAAGTTTAGTTACATTGTTTTTATTTACAGTCTCCAATATCTTGACCCCTTTTCATTACTTACTCGTATCCTCATTAAAATTTCTTTTTTTTTGCCCCGAGATCTCAGCTCTTAGCAACATGTTAGAGAGCCCTGTTTAAGTAATTCTTACTAGGGAGTGAATGATGGATATAGAAATTAAAGTACCAGTATTTGCCAGCACACGTAGTTGAAGAGTTCTTCTAGAGATTTGTAATGATGTGTTTTTTTTTCCATTTAATCTTCACATCAATCAAGCCTGATAAGGTAGATGGTTCTATTCTCAGATGACAGGTGAAGAGACTAAGGCACAAAGAAGTTGATGTCATTCAGCTAGTGTATGGAAGAGTCTGGTTTGGAAAGAAGTTATGTTTGGTCCTGCAGTCATGCTTTTGGATATGTACTCCTAGACCCACTTGGCTCTTTTCGGGGTTTTAGCATGGTAAGATAGGAGTAGTATGTTATATCAATCTATTTTTGATGAAAATATTAGGGAGCATGACAAAATAAAGTAGAGGAGGCAGCTTATGGGAGGGATACTGGGGTTGGGTGATGGGTCTTCTTCACTGTTGAAAAAGCCCCCAAACCCGAGTCCCTAGCCAGCAATCAGGTGCGACTAGTCCTGAGTAAAATACCTGTTAGCCCTGAAATTTTTTCATATGTAAATGTTATGTATGTTCAATATACTATATTATTTTTAATGTAAATTCTTTTTTGTTATTTTGTAAAGATTTTATTGGGGAATTGGGGGAGGGGAACAGTGTTGAGGAATTGGGGAAGGGGAACAGATAAGCTGCTATCCTTTTGTTCTTCAGTCTAGTTGTGGAGGACGTTGCTTCACTGGCCCATGTTGGTATTGTCATTGCGCTCTTCCCGGGTGAGGCAGGTCGGTTGCCGGCCTCTGGATGGCCGCTCACGGCGGCTCTTGGCAGCTCACACCAGCTGCCGGCCACACACACGGTAGCTTATGGCAGCCCACTGCAACAGGGGCTGCAGCCTATGCCATCGCC